CCTCCCAGGCAGGTCAATGCTCAGTCACCTATCTGTTCTACTATTGTCATCATCTCTCTGTCTCCACCTTCAGTAGCCACCATCACCACCGACCAGCCCAGGAGTGCCCCAGCCTACGCAGCTCGGCCCAGCTCTCCATCTCCTCACCTCCTACTGTTGGTCAACACCCGGTTATTACTTATCGACAGGACTACGCATTATTTCCCTCTGTGCATTTTGTTATTTCTCCTCATCACTGTACATAATAAATCACTGCTTGCATCAAAGTCGGCTACCTGGGTCCGCCTCTTTCTCGTTCACTCACTGACAGATGCGAACGACACATAACAATTGCAGCTACAGTAACACCATCCCCTTACGACAGGATGACAGTGGCCAAGGTTTGACAGCAGTAGGAAAATTCCATTTAACCAAAGGCTATTGTCAGCTCTCTAAACATCAAACTGAACAAACAAACATAAACAAATATTTATCTGGGCTGGTGTCTTGTAGTGGGTCTCATCAAACTACAGCACATATGCAGGTCTGCACTCGACACATATTTTCGATTTTTGCTCTTTGTAAACCATATTTGTGAATACATGCAACATATATATACATATATATATATATACATATATATATATACACACACACACACAAGTATATATTTCACCAGGAAATTGCCCTGCTGACTTAATAATAAATTAGATAGAATATGAAAAGAATAATCAGGGCTCACAAAACACAAAAAAATCAAATAAAATAAGACTGAGAAAATGACAGCAACAAGTTCTGTGATTCTGACTTTTCTTCTTGTACTGGCTGCATATAGAGATTATGTAGAGAGAAAGCAAGGAAATGGTGACCCTGTGTGGCTGTAGTGTGTAAGGGAAGTTAGACTCAGTGTAATCAGCAGTGGGAGAGGTTTGCAGATTTAAACAGTCAATTAAAAGTCATGCTTTCAAAAGTTTCATAAAAAATAGATCAGCAGCAGAATGTACCTAAGAATTAAAAAATATACATATTAATAACAGTCCATCCTATTTACATATTGGCACCCTTTATAAAGTTTTTTTAAGATGCACTTTATTAATTATTTTGTTATTACTTCTTTATTTATCACTTATAAGTCATTAACTACATTATAATGCATTATACTGCATTTTAAACCATGTAATAAATGGCTGTTTGTATGTTGTTGTTGTTTGTATGTTTATTGCTAATAAGTACAAAGCAAACATCCCTCTGGAGAAGGATGGTCGACAGCCTTGCACCCCAGACCTTTTCCTTATAAATGGCATAAATCCAATGTTTAAAGCAGCAGTAACTGTTCATCAGCCATTAATAAAGCTGTGAGCTACAGTGTATAAACCCTTTAAACAGTACCTTAATAAAGAGTGATACCAATAATAATGGGTTATTATCAAGTTGACTGAGAACAATGCAGCATATTCTACAAACTCCTTAAATGTTTTGTATACAAAATCTTTATCTGTAAAGTAACTACCATATTCAGATGTCATGTAAATGTGGTGGAACAAAGGCACAATATTTCCCTCTTAAATTTTGTTAAGTAGAATTATAAAGTAGCATAAAACAAGTAACTCACAAGTATCTCAAAACTGTAGCTGAATAAATGGACATATTTACTTATGGTCCACCAGTGTATTGAACATATTCGCTGCTGTTTTAAAGTTGATTTAACTTGTGCTTGAATGTGGGACTGTTGACATTTAAATACCAGACTTGGTCCCATAGAGGGATCAGTCTCTGGTCATGTAGACATTAATACCTGGATTTACATTTGCCTCAAATCAGTGTTGTTGCCCAGGAGATGGCAGCATATGAGTGATTTTCACTGAGCCCTTTTAACAAGGACATAATCTATTACTATTACTAACCTATTACTGATGTCAGTTTTCTCCAAATTAATGTGAAGAGGAATGTAAAATGTCTCGCAATTCATTCTTATTGCAAATGCTTTTACTTTGTGATATACAAGCCACACACAGATGTTTTATGTGTTTTTTTTTTTTATTAAATTACACCAGTAATGTTGTAAAAATGGCACCAGACAAACTGTGAAAGCCTGTGAAAGGTAGAAACATAGCTGGGTTGCACTATGCCACAGTTTGCAGATATGCCGATGCAGAAGATCACATTTGAGCTGTGAAGTAGGCAACGTGAGCAGATGTTTCAGCAAACACAATGACACATAATCAGTGCAAAGTGGCACTGTCTGCTGATAGAACTACAAGGAACACTGTAAATGTTAAATAATTGTTGAGCTCCCTCATTTGGCCTTTTTTATTATGTTGAAAAACTGGGAAAGTTCCTGGCTAAAGATTTTTGATAGTCAATAGCCAACTTGGAGTTTAATAAAGAGGGGTTTTAACTCATTTAAAGGTAACCTAGCTGGGGGAAATGGAAATGGGACATAACAAAAGGTGTAACAAACAGGTGCCACCTTTGGTTCTCTGTTTGAAGAGTTTGAAATGGCATTACTGCAAAAGTTGCAAGGATTCTGTTGCAAGGTTTAGCTGAAGATAGTTTTTTCTTCCTAGTAAAGATTTTCCCAAAAGTATTACCAACTGCAACATGTTCATTCATAGATGTGGATTAAAATAAGTTGGCTGGGCGAATCCACTGGACATGAAGGGGTGCAGGAGCCCTCCAGTGGATGAAAGAGGAACAGCACCAGCTGTGTGGAAGATCATATTCCCAGAGCTGAAGTTGGGAAAAGTTTGATGGAAGCTGGCAGAGCTTGACCCACAGCTGGCCGGGTTTGGACTGACGTTGACCAGGGAGTTGGAGCCAGGCTGCAGGGGGCTGTCCGCCCCGGGGTTCTGTTTTTTCCACTTGGTCCGTCTGTTCTGGAACCAAATTTTCACCTGGGTTTCGGTCAGACTCAAGGACAAGGCCAGGTTTAGTCTCTCGCACACAGACAGGTACCGAGTTGCACGAAACTTGTTTTCTAGAGCTACAAGTTGCTCGTAAGTGAACGCTGTTCTGGCGCGTCGCGGTTTGGCACAGGTCTGGTCCAGGCGCCGTCTTTTGTGGGGTGAAGGGTCCTGCAGTGTGACGGGCGACTCTTTATGGTCCTGTTCCTCAGTCAGGCAGGGCTCCGTGTCAGCCGGCGGGGAGGGCAGAAGATGGTCAGCAACAACTGCTTGATGCTTGGAGGGTACAGAGTGTTCATCTCCTGTCTCTTCCCCTGTAAATACAAAACAGTTGATTCACATCATGAAAACCTCTGCAGAAAACTTTGCAGGTACTGTATATGTGTCTATATATGCATGTATGTGTATAATGCGTATCGTCATTCAACCTCAACCATATTATTCATATTTAATTTCCAGTCAAAATGATGTTGTACAGGAATCAACCGTAAGCCTAAAGGTGAAACTGTAGGCTATAGCCATTATATGTTCTAGTGTGGTAAAACACTTTGTCATATGTATATATATATTATCCAAGTAATAAGTCAAATGGAGATAGGAATGATATAAATCTGTCCTTAACTGTGAGCCTTGTTTGGAGTAATAGGTCAGAAAGCTTAACAGACAGCTAAATGGGCTAAATTGGTCGTGGTACTGAAAGGACAGCTCCTGATAAGATAGAGGTTATCCCCTAAATGTGCTAAAAAATATATCTTCTTTACGCAAGGATGTTTGTCTTTGTCCACTCGTAACTGCAGTTTAAATACCTTACACAGAAGGCCTAGAGTTGACATGTGTAGGCTCTTTGATTAGGCTCCTGAGACCGTCTGAACGGAATGGAGCATAGATTCAGAGGAGGGAGAGACTTGGTCACTAATCCTTAAATAATTTATAAACCACACTGCGCCTCAAATGTCATGTTGCGGAAAGAAATCCCGTCTAAATCCAGCTCAGGCACCTTAGCCATGACGTGCTAATGGAGTTTCATATTTGCGGGTGGATCGATAAATGTCATCTATTTAAAGGGAAGTTTTAATCGAATGATATTTGGGATCAGACATGGATGGGGTGTGAAGTTTGTACCTCCAAGGTGCTGGAGGGAGATATGCAGGATGCAGTAATGGGATATCGATCAAAGCGCGCAGAGGCGTCCTCAATGGGACGATTTAAACAATTATCTAGCCTGCCTGTCCCAATGCCAATCACACGCTGGGGCTCTGGGAACAAGCCTTTGTGGTTTCCTTGAAAGGAAAAGCAGCCTTGAAATTTAAGGGAAGGTCATACAGAGATGACAATAAATCCGATGGAAAATATCGTTTCTCCTGCTGGTGTTTAGATCCAGAGCAAAGTTTTTCCACCTTATTCCATGTCAGCAATTTATTTTATGCACGCACGCTTATTTTACAGTGTTTCGATATGACAGTGAATTGACAGGAATTTGTTGATGAGTCTCAATGTTTTTAAATAGCTGACATGTGCATTAAGTGTAAATCTGTATATTGCACATGAACGTTTGATCTATTGGCTTAACTATAATTCTGAAATGATCTGTTTTCCTTACCTGCTTTCGGGAGCTCAACTCTGACGTCTCTGCCTGCAGTGCAGTCCGACTCCAAACTTGTTCCCTCTGCATTTGGTTCAGGAAACTTCTCTTTGTTGATGGAAAGTTCATTTACCCTTTTGCTGTTGAATTTGTTCGGATCCAATATATCAATGATAGAAAACGAAATCTTATGACTGGACGTCATTGTCACTCCACAGTTCTTAGGGTCCAGCATCATTTGTAAAGAATCACCTTTAAAGAACGAACGACTGACATGCGTAATTACGCGCGTGGAAAGGAAGTGTTCATAGTTTAGCCTACTTTTTGTCCTCAGGCTTCATCAAACCGGATTAGTGGTGATGATCCCTCGGAGTGTGGACTTCGCTCATGTGCTTCTGTCTGTCAGTCTTGCAGAGTGAATGAGATGACCGGAGCGCAGACTTTAAAGCGTCTGTCCCCCCGTCTCAAAACTAAACACGTGATACAAACACTATTAGTGTTTCACACGGTCGCTTAATGGGCTCAAAGCATTCGTCGATAATCACCCATATCATTAAATTCAATAACCCACGACCTGAAAGTAAATTGGGCACAGATGGCCCTTGGTCCGTATCAGAGATTGCCCTGTGTCCCCAAATTGCACTCTTTTAGAGGCGTTACTGTCAGGAATGGGATTTTTGTGTCCCTTAAGCAAAAGAAAAACTTTCTCTTAATGCTTATAACCCGCCATTTATTTATAGAAATGATGCAGCAGCACAGCATACTGTAAATATAAAAAAGGTAAGCTCGTTAAAAAATCAACTTTCTCCAGTTTAGCCAGTATCTGAGGCATCGGTAATGAAAAAAACATATATCTACTTAAAATGTATCCATTAGAGTGCACAGAAGATGATCATTCCCAGATACTGTATACAACATACTGTGACAAATCAAAACAGCTTAAAGTGAAAACTGTACAACTCTGAAGTACTAATGATTATAGTCCTTCATCCTTTTTGTTTAGCTTCTTCATAATAAGGTGACATCTGCTATAAATTTTACATCTGTACTTTATTTTCATATTTTTATGAAACAGCCATAGGAATGTTCCCAGTGTAGCATCTCCTCTATCATTTGCACTGCATTGCAGTACAATGCAGCACCTTTAATACCTTTAATGACAAAAATTATGCTTGGAATTGCAAGGCTTTTTTTTTTTTTGAAAATGGTTTATGTCTCATTTGCTTAGTATGGTAACAATTTATAATAAATGACAGTAACTTCTACTTCCTCGTTAGAGATTACAAAATAAAGATGTGTGTTTTGGACAGACTGGAAGAATCCATGATGTCTCACTATTCTAGCTGCTTCTTTAAAGCACTCAAAGCTAAATTGCAGGTATACAATGGATATAGCTGATTGTTTTCTCACATAAGGTGATAGATTTATATTCACAATCAATCCATTTCCTAGTCTTTGCTATTGGTATTCAGTATAAAGTGACAAAGGGGTGTTTAAAGCTTGATGCCTGGTGATGGCTAAAATGGTGAAACCACAGAGGATCAATATTCTCAGCAGGTGTCCAGTAGAGATAAAACCTGATGGCTCCAGACAGTCATTTTGGATAGTTGGAAGTCAAACCAGTAACTAGAACAGCACAGGAGTATTGGTTTGACGTGTCCTTAAATTGCTCAGGCCTTGAATGACCCAAATTATTACTATTTTCAGTTAACGCTTTGCCTATAATTTCATTCAAATTAGCAATGCGTATTTTTGTAGAATAAGGGTTAAATGTGTTGTTAAAAAGTACTTTTTCCTCTGCCATTTGGAATCTGGGGTTAACATATTAACATATTTTACTATCTAAGCCTGTGAGGTCTACATTGTATGTGTATGAAACAGACAGAAGGCACAAGGGCTATTTCTCTGTTTTTAGTTCTGCGCGGTGTTAGTGACAAGGAGGAATTGATGTTTACACACTGTAAAAGATCACTTAAATGCTTCCCTTCTTCCTGTGTTACTTATACAGTTCAGGGTTATTACTCTGCTATATGGAGGTTTCATTGCTACCCAGTCATATTCTGGTTGACTAGCATGGCCTACAGTTACACAGTCAAACATTTGTTAAAACCGCCCCTACAGGGCGCCTGCATGTCAGCATTTGCATGTGTATGACACTTGCACAGCCATTACTGTAGGTCCTCCATATGAATAGAGCCCGGTGCACACTGGAGGTTTACAACTTCCTACGAGAAAACCCAGTGGCCACACATCTGCTTGTGTGGGTCAGCGGGACAAAGGAATGACCCCAAGAATAAAGAGGCCCTCAGGTAGACTTCAGAGAGGGAACAGCAGCTGGCAGAGCTCCGAGTCTGTACGGACCAGCTCAAGACTTCAGAGGGGAGGAGTGTTCCCCATCAGACACAGCAGGGTGCCAAAGAGACACACTTCCATCCAAGACCCCCCTCCAGGGTCAGTAAAGTCATCACTTCACAGGGAGGCTGACCCAGTCTGCTAAACATCAGATAATTTGTTTAATGGCAGGAATGGCGCTATGAGCCCTAGGTCTACTAACAGACTGTACATCTATTGTTTTGTCTCTAGTCCTGCACTCCCCAAGCCCAAGCCCCCTGTAAAGTGTGACAAAGGATCGGCAAGTGTCTGTTCTCTTTGTCAGGTTCCCAAACTTTGTGGGCTAGTTGTCATGGTTTCTATGATAGAGAAACATTATTGAAGTACATACTATTGATTTGACAGTTTTAAAGTTCATATTATTTTGAATACTCCTCCTCAGTGCTGCAAGTATTTTTGCCATGTAACCATAATGTTTTATGCAACACTAGTAAAAATAAACAAACAAACAAACAAACAAAGACTTCTAGATGATACATTACAAAACTCATTATTTGGAAAATTGAAGCACAATTTGTAGTTAAATAGGACACAACTTGCAAAAACCCCAGTTTGTTCTGTGTCTCACTTCTCAACACTACTTTTATGTTGTTTTTTTATTCTCAACATTCAGTAGCAGCGATCAAAGAATATTGACTTCCACAACCTACGTTTCTACTTTATCTGCACTCGGAGGTAGTTGGCATTGATGTGTGCCAGTGTAGATCAATACGGTACAATCTTCCAGAATGGGCATAAAGCTTCCTTCATTTTGCCAAGCCTCATGTGTGCACTGCATGCCTATGGGTTTTGCTGCCAGACCTTCCTTCAGTTAGACGTCTGTGTTTGTTTGCCTCTCTCTGACAACAAGGTCAGTGGCATTGCCCAGTAATTGTCCTAACGGCCTGTGTACCTGTTTGGTGGAGGCGAGTAATGAGAGTTTTTCATTACGGGCGGGACGGGTGAGTGCGCCTGGCAGATGCTGACAGGCAGCAGATGTGTAAAGTTGAGGGTGATTTGTAAGGGGGTCAACTGCATCACAGAAGAGATGGAGGGCGATGTTGGGTGGGGGTAAATTATACTGAGGGACACTGTCAGTCATACTGCACCCCTATGATGACAAGGTAAAGGTCAGTTCAAATGCTGATGTTGGCAACTAACATCCAGCACGCTGCAGTGCTGTTGGCAAACTTTCTAGCTCATACAGACTGGAGGTGTTTGGTTCAAAGTTCATTTCTATGTGAAAACCCTCCTTACAACTGGTTGTACATGTGTAAAAAAAAAAAATCTTGGTTTGCATGAGATTGTTTTGATGTTCTTTAATCCTTGAAATATGAAAACCAAATTGGGCTGCTTATCAACTTAAAATTCAATCTTGCATCCATACAACCGAAGTTGTGAGAAGAAAGGCAGAGGGCAAAGGTTCAGTTATCTTCTGCTCCCACATCATTTTTGTGCAGCATATGTGCAAAAGGGAAACGGTGATTTGTTGTGAATCAATTAATATCATTAATGGCATACACACTATGCACTGTTTTCCTCAGGCGTTCACATGGCTTTGCAGGTACATAGATTCAGATTCCTAGTCCACAGTTATGAGATAGATGTGGAAGCTCAACAAAGAGGCAATGTTTCATTATTGGGTGCAGGTCTTTTAGTTGAACAGTAAACAGCAAGATTGTTAAATATTAAAACTAGCAATTGCTTTTTGTGAATGACTAGAAAACTGTGAGGTGACAGCAGCAGTTTGTCTTCCCAGGGCACAAGGTTCAATGTTGGGCTATCTTGGCCTTATGTCCTAGCAGGACCTTCACATTGTTCAGTTTGTAAATTAAGATATTTGGCCAGCCTGACTTGTCCACAGAAAAATTACAAGTGCAGCCTTGGGGAGATGAGTGTTGCAGCGAGTTGAGGGGAGTGTACACAGTGAGAAAGACCAGGAGAAAATGGACATAAAGCGCTGCAGCTGCCAGTTTTGCACAGGGTTGAGGCCTCCTAGTAATGGCTCCGTGGTCCCTGGCATCTGCACAGAGTGCACTGTCACTCACCATGAGCATTGATTAGCCATTGTTCTGAGAAGGTCACATCATAATTCATTAACAATAATTAGTCCCACAGTGCCACCTGCACTCCTTCACCCGATTGCCCTGTTAAATTACGAGCAACCATCACAGTTCACGCGTGGAACAATGAAGATGTATCTGTAACGTAAAGGCAAGAGCTATTAGTTACATTATTTAAATGGACCTGTTTAAACCAGTGGAGCTGTCTTTATGAAGGGCAATTAGGCACTAACCATAATTGATCATTCGTGCTAATTATAATTAGGAAATATAAATAGTGGGTGTAGGATTAATCATCATTGTGGTTAAGCGGGGAGCAGCCATGGCGCTGGGTGGGTAGGTGTAATGGAAGTCAATGGATTATGCCCCATTCATCTCCATCTAGTGCAGAAACAGATTGTGTTTGTCCCTTTATATTTCTCCATTGACTGTTATCTCTTTTTTGTTTCTGTGTCCTTGCCAGATAGTCCATGTGACTGTGGAATGATGGGACTGTAGTTAGTGAGCTGCAGTATGAGAGCACACTGGCTCTGTAATGGTAAATGTTACTGGGACGACTGGTGGATTTTCCTCCATCCCTAACCTGAGATGATAAGATGAAATGTTCATTTTCCTACTGAGAAGAATGTCTCACAGTCTTAGATTACAGTCAACTCCAATTTCTTTTCTTCTGAGGCCTTGTCATTTATCAGATTATCACAATAATCTCACATAAGTTTTATTTCAAATATTTAGAAATGGCACATGTATGCCTTTTCCCGTTGACGCACAC